TCACAATTAAACTCAAGAACAATTTATCATCCCCGTGGCTCAGGAATGGAATTGAAATGCAAGTGATAGTTAAAGGCTGTATTGACCTCTGGCCTACTGGGCACTGGAGGTGGGCAGACAGGGCTCCAGGCAGCTTCTACAGGGTAACGGAAGATCAGCATTAAGCTCTGCTATGTAGAAATCCAGAATGGCCACAGGGACTGAAACCTGGGCTTAGAAAACCCTCCTGCTGCTGACACCTGTTGGAAACCATAGGTGTAGTGATGCTCAGATCTGAAGTTGGCAGGAGGAAGCCAGCAGGGCCACCGACTAGGAACTGAAACAATCACTTGCTGTGAGCATGATGTTAGCTGTCTGGATGCCAGTACAATGTGACACTCGAATCACTAATGTGAAGAACACAGATGTGTGATTCTTGGCATAAAATAAGTTCAAAATCATTTTAAAGAGAAAGATAATAGAGCTAATAATGAAGTTGTATCATAAGTAAATTAAGCTAAGTTTTACCTTGTTTGACTTCTAACATGGCTGCTGTACACATGAACTCAGAACTGCTGGTTGTAACTACCAGCACAAGGCATGCAGCATACGAAGCCCAGCATGGATGGGGGCGCTCACCAGGACCCACCCATAGCCGAGGAGCTATTGGCAGTTGATGATTGCTTGCCAAGGATGGGCCACTTTTCTTTGGGGGTGTGGAGTCTGGTAGGCCACCCACATCCCAGTGGATGACCCCCCACACACGTGCCTATGGGCAGCACTAACTGGACTCAGTGGATTGTTTAAAAAGAGAGAGAAAGTCAGAGATGGGGATGGAGACATGGCTCAGCTGTTAAGAGCACTGGCTGCTCTTGCAGTGGGTTGCGTTCCCAGCACCCACATGGCAGGTTACAACTGTCCTTAACTCCAGTTCTCACTGATCCAGTGCCCTCCTGACTGCCACTGGCATTGCACACATAGGTGCAATTGCATAAGTACAGGCAAAATACCCATACACATCTAATAAAAATAATAAATAAATCAATAAGAGGAGGGCAGGAAGTCAGGAAGGGGATGTGTCAGGGGGAGATAGAGGAGGAGGTAGAGATGGTAGTGGGGGTACATATGAACAAGATACATTATATGCATGAATGAAATTTTCAAAAAATTTCAGAAATATTATTTTTAAAAATTCCTAGGTGCCGGGTGTGGTGGCGAAAGCCTTTAGTCCCAGCATTCAGGAGGCAGAAGCAGGCAGATCGAGGCCAGCCTCGTCTACATAATGAGTTCCAGGACAGCTGGGGCTGCAGGAAGACCCTGTCTCAAGAAGATTGAAAAAAAAAAAAAAACCAAAGGCAAAGAGTGGTGGCTCAGGCCTTTAATCCCAGTACTCTGGAGGCAGAGGCAGGCAGATCTCTGTGAGAGCAAGGTCAGCCTGTTCTAAATAGCAAGTTTCAGGCTAGTTGGAGCTACAGAGAGACCCTTTTTCAAAGCAAAACAAAACAAACCACCAACCCCTCCCCCAATTTTATAATTCAAGTGAATTTACAACACATAATTCTGTAGCTCATAAGAAAATCTAACACTAAAAAAGATAGCCAAAAATATGGCCATTAAAAATAAATATGTCCTAGAAGATTTTGATATGTTGATACAAGGTACCAAAGTTATATATTGGGTTGGCCTAGAAGATTTTGATATG